TGTGGTAGAACTTTGTGCATAGTGGATGTAAATGACACAGTTGATTAAAACATAAATTACACATATAATAAATAGATCTAGCTACTCATGTACTCTGAGGGGTACATTTCCTTATTTTAACTGCTTTACATGCAATTCTACAGTGACTCTGAATATTGAACTTTTTCTTGTTACCGAGTCGTTGCGTGTAACCGTGCAGACGATTACCCTTGTTGCCATTCCTTGATGGTTGTAAGGAAAATTCATTTTCCTTACTTCGCGTCCCTACTCAGCGCGTACACTACTGTTCCTGCCAACAGCACCGAACAGTAAACCGTTACCACTCGCGACATTCGCCTCGACACTGTTCCCGCCACTGTGCACGACGCGACCCAACCTCACGGTTCGGTTGGTAACCCGCGCTCCGGACCTCCGCCTCGGCATTTCCCAAACCTCGGCGCCAGGCCCGAGCGCACCCCATTTTCACGCATTACCGTTACCAATGTAGTTTTGCTATATATTCTTCGCTCATGCCTTCGCTCATTGTACTCTTGCTTCGATAGTGCAATTCTCGCTTGCTCGCTCACTTGCACTCGTAACAATGGTGAGTCAATCGGTCCAGATGGTCAGCAGTCGCGACGGTTGACCTTTGCGACTGTTAACCTTCCTGCCTACGTTATAGGCTGACCCTGATCCGATACTGCTGCATGCGCTTGCTTCGATAGTGACGGGTGCGATACAGCTGCACATGCGGGAATGCTAACTTAATTCCCTTCATACTCCAACAGCTGGCGCACTGGCTAGCTTGGCTTGCTGACGCGTTGGCTGGTGCTTGGGGGCACGGCATGCACAACAAAATGGACGGGCACTAAGGGCATGGCAGTCGCTGCGAGGTCAAACGAGTGTCCTAGGTGGAAGAGTAGGTGAGTCTGAAGCGGTTGACCCAAACCTAGCGATGTTACCATGGTAAGTGAGAAAGTACAAGAGTATAGGCGAATTTGCACCCTTTATGGTGCGCCTCTATGTAGGCTACAGTAGTAAGTATGCTAGTATGCTACACCCAAGTCGCTAATGCATGGCGAAGTTCCCCCCTATAGTATGTTGTTCTGCTTAAGAGTTTGGGCACTCCAAAACCATGAGAATCGTCGGCCCTGCTCGACAGGCAGCCAAGCCCTTCCGCGGAACTATCGGGGCTATTTCAATTTTAAGTTTTTTTTCCTGGTCAGCCCCCGAATGGATGCCGAACCTGGCAAACTCTCCCGAACCATATTAACCCTCCGTTGCCTGTCGAACGCGCCATCTACGAGAAGTGTTTGGGACCCCCAAAAGATCCAACTTTCTTCGCACTTTCGCAAGCGTCGAGCCTACCTCCAGCCCAACCCTCGCCCAGCCAAACTGGAGGTTGGCCAAGAGATGGGCTAGGGCTTGACCCAGCAGCGCCCTGACGGTGGAGGGAGGAACCCAGCACCGCCCTGACGACCCCCTCCTTCTGATTTTGGGAGGCGCAGCTTCCCTTTTGGTCGGGGGGGGGGGGGGGGGGGGGGGGAGGGGGGTTAGCCCAGGAGAAGGTGCTCCGAAAGCTCCCCCAAGCACTAGCCTAAGGACGTGGGCCCAATCGACTTTGATCGGCTCGGATCTGATCGGGTTGGATTGGATCGAATTGCTTGCAATCGTTTTTCTCGTGCCGCCCAATCAGAATTGATTTTTCTCGAATATTCTGCGCTCTTGCATAACAACCGGTTGCCCATTACCTGGTAGTTGCACCCTAACTTTGGCGAGATGGGCGAATCCAAGTATCGTGATAATGTCGCAAATATCGCATTGCGCACAGGGTCCGCTCCATAACAGTTATCGCTGGTCTGTATGTATGAGCGAGGATTTTAGAGACCTCATGGCGAGGCGTGTTACATGTCGCTTACATCGCCCAGGGCCCCGATCACATGCAATCAAGTGATCGGGGCTGATTGTGTCTGATCGTGTCTGATCGGGCTGTTCGAGGCGGTTGATCGAGTTGGCGCGATCAGCTGATTGCCCCCGGTTGCCTGAAATTGGCTTCCCGCCTTCCTCGAAGTTATTGATCGCCTCTGATCGCGCCGATCAAAGTCGATTGGGCCCACGTCCTAACCCTAGCCCAGCAAGGGTTAGGGCGTGTTAAATCGCAAACTCCAAAAAATCTGCCACAATCCGTCGGGCCGTTTTTGCGAATGTAACCAGATTGCGACAATCGTAAGTCAAGTGGCGACCGTCGCAAATTTCGTAAAAAAAATAACGAATTTGATGGCCGTTTAAAAAGTCGACACGAAAACGACGCCGAGTCGACTCCAAAACGGCCAAGTAGTCGACACAGTGTGCGACAAACGCCTGCGACGTCGCATGGTTTCGCCCAACGACAGAATTTGTGATCGCGACAAATGAGAGATATCGCCGTCAAAAGTGCGACCCCGTCGCACATACCAAACTACTGTAGTAACTGCAAATTTAACAACTTTTTCGAACCAGCCTGCAATTCGGCCACCAAAGTTGTTAAATTACCAAAACTGTAAATTTTGGCTGTTAAAGAGTCGACTCTGATTCGGCCACCTCGTCCTTGTTCGCGAAAAATATGACGACCATTTGGTCGTCAAAAATTCGGCCAAACCCCATTTTCGGAATTGTGTGGCGATTTAACACGCCCTTAGGCTGCCTATTGAGCAGGGCCGTCCTGTTTTTTTGTCGGCTTGATCGATCCGCCGCTTTCTCACTCGAACCACGGAGGCACCGCTTGCCTACTGACAATCCCTTTGTTTTGATTGGCTTGACACGCACCGGCCGTCATCACGCTCTGCCAGTCCGTCTGTTCTTCCAGTGTAAACAGCAACCTCGTTTCCCGAATTCTCCACACGCTTCTCCCCCATAGACGCACAGCGAGCAGGAAGCACACAAGTGCAGCATTCGCCACAGCAAATGCCACTTCCCTCATCTCACCCCCCAGGGCGATGTTCGGCAGCCCAAGGGATCCAGCGAGGGATGAGTCGAGGCATCGAAAATCGAGAGCCTCGCCCCTAGTTGTGACAGGTCAACTTGGGGTCAACCACAGTTGACGCCAAGTTCGAGGTCCTTGCGCAAGCGGAAGGACTCGGCGGTAATTGCGGAGGTCCAGGGTGGTAGGGGGAGGGCAACGGAAGCAGACGCCCTGCAAACGCGAACCTTCGCGACGTGAACAGTTCTCGCGAGGGTTTGTTTGTCAGCCTCACCCTAAATTGCAAAAATACCTTGGATGCGGATGCGGTCACAGGGAAATAATTGCGCGACGCGACGTGTTTCACATTTTGCTCAATCCTGTGGAATACCCTAGCACTGTTCTCCACGTTTTTCAATTTTTCTCAATCCCTTGGAGTACTACATGCGCTTTCGCGGTATGTTAACACTTAATCTGGAAAAAGTGTTGAGACTGTTTGGTTGAAAGTTACACTATCAAACAGGCATGGTTTACCCTACATTCCTTAATTCTGTTTGCGTTTTTGGATTATTAGGTTATACAGTGCAGTCGAGGTTGTCACCTAGTCACGCGTGTGAGACAATGCTCTCCGTTGCGATTGGTCCACGTATTGAAATCGTATCGCGTCTGGGTCCGATCAGTCAGGCGCAATGATTGTTCGATACAGCTGTACATTCTGCAATGATGAAAGACCACCTGGACATATCTTCTCCAAGCGGCTGTGGGGCCACACGTGTCCCTCATTTGGCGCAAATGAGGTTGCATTTCTAGCCAATTAGCGTCTACCATTTGGCGGTCTGGCCTGGATTCGTTGCATGCACTGAGTATGGGTAGAGGTCGTCCCTCTCCTTTGAAGTGTCGCCCGTGAATGTCCCGTCGATCCCACCTCCCACGAGGCTCCCTTGCTTCTAAACGGGGTCAATCGTCCAAGAGGTTTTCTATGTTTTGCACAGCCACGCATCTGCTCTGTGTGCCTCTTAGTAGACTTTCACTCGATCCCGTACGCACGCACCTGCTGCTCGAGCTTAGAGTCAAGCTTACTCCTGGGCTGTGGACTTTGTTTAACATGTCGCACGCGGGTAAAAGGTTAGGGAGAACCCGCGCGCAGCCGGTTCCCGCTACGTCCGCTCCGCGTTCTAAACGTGGAGACAAGGGTAAGCAAGAGGGGTCGGAAGTGGTAGCAACTCTCAGCGATGATTTCGAGGTTCCCGTTACCATTAAAGGCGACAATGAGCTCCTGGAGCCCGACGACATCATATCTCGCTTCGCAAAAGGTGTGCGCGTTCCTGCATCTTTAAGCGCGGAGCTCCCCGCATCACTTAGAAAGAACAACTTCTTCCCTTCACAAACAATCACGAATCACCTAGGGCAGAGCGCCAGGTTAGGGATGCTGGATGCCCTCCACATACAGGACGGCTACGAGATCCCAAGCTCGACAATCGACTTCCATAACGTGTAAGCGTGTCGGCTGCATTCAACGTGGTTTTTTTTATTCGTTGCACTGCGTTCTTATTCATCCGCGTTTTGGTCATGCAGGGTGCTTAGCCTAGAACACCCTAAGCTCCACAACGGGAAAACGTGGGTTGCGCTGGATAGCCTAGCTTTCCAGTCACTCTCACTCGGCCCGTCTGTTGCATGCGGCATCCCCTGCGAGAAAATCCTCGACTACGACTACAACTGCATCGTCATCTTTAACGAGTGAGACGTCTTCTAACGCGCCCTCCATACAGGGCCCGTGTTTAGGGGTTAGGGTTGCTCGGACGTTGCCTCGCTAACACGTGTGGTTTCAACATCTTTTGCATACCCCGCAGGAAGCCACTACCAAAGCATTACAGCCTTGTGGTTGTAAAGGACGCGGGCCTGTTGTTGAAAACCGACAAGGAGTTTAGAGACAAAGAAGATGTGGCACCAACGGCTTTCCTATTCGACTCGACAACGTACCACATGTCGATGAAAGAGAGCATTTTTGCGAACGTCAACTTGTGAGTGCTTTATGAGCAGATTTCAGGGTGACATGCCGTTAGTGCGTGTGACCGGCTTTTTAATGGTTCGGGTGCTTGTTGTACCTTCGTCACCCCTTGAGCAGGCTTCTCGGTAGAGCCTTGAAGAAAGCACTGCCCGAACTGTCCGGTGCAGATGTCTACCGCCGCCTCACACTCGTCAACAGCGTGCCTGTGCACGTAAGTATTACACCCTTCAAACGTCACCTTCACACCCTCACTGGGTGCCGAGGGTTCTTGATAAGTGTTCACTACCTGCTTGGACATCGATAATTAATGTGTTTTCTCTGTGTCTTCTACCCACAGTACTCTCAGGTCCCTCAACAGGTGAACAAAGTTGACTGCGGCGTTTACGTTTGCATGTTCATCAAGGAGCTGGTGCGGCGCTGTTTCGAGGATATGGAAATGGGCGTCCACCCGTCTTACGGCGGGGATCGGTACCGGCGGGACATGCGGAGTGTGGCTTGCCAGGCTGGCCAACGACAACTGCTGGAAAATCTGCGGCTTAAGGGTGTGGTTCTACCGCAGCAACCTCAGTCAGACGACGACCGCGAGGAGGACGTGATAGAGTTGGACATGGACATCGAGACAAAGGTGAAGGACCTGCTAGCTTCCGACAACATGCACGGGGCGCAGATCGAAAACGCCTTCAAGGATATCGAGGAACTGAAGGACCAACTATTCAAGTGGGGTAAGAGTCACGATGCGCTGTCGGACACCGTGTCACAACTCAAACAGGGGTTCGCCATGCTTGCGGCTAGAATCGGGTGTGATACGCAGCATCTGGACCGAAGCGACGAGGCACAAGGGTTTGTTTTACCTGCTGGGGGGATCCCGGGTGCGGGAGTTGCAACCGCAGGCGGGATCACAGTTGTCGGTGCTGCAACATTGGGCGGGATGCCCGGTGCGGGTGGATCAACAGCAGGGTTGCTCCCGGGTGAGGAAGTTGCAACATCAGGCGGGATCCCGGGTGCTGGAGTTGCAACGTCAGGCATGATTCCGGTTGCGGGCGTGTCAACAGCAGGGTTTCTCCCGGGTGCGGGAGTTGTCAAAACAGGCGGGACCCCGGGTGCGGGAGTTGCAACGTCAGGCATGATTCCAGGTGCGGGCGTGTCGACAGCGGGGTTTCGCCCGGGTGCGGGCGTGTCGGCAGCAGGGTTGCTCCCAGGTGCGGGCGCTGCTACATGCCGCGGGATCCCGGGCGCGGAAGTTGCAAGATCCGGCGGGATTCCGGGTGCGGGCGTGTCACCAGCCGGGTTGTTCCCGGGTGAGGGAGTAGCAACTGCGAGCGGGATCCTGGGTGCGGGAGTTGACACAGCAGGCGGGATTCCGGGTGCGGGAGTTGCAACATCAGGCGGGATTCCGGGTGCGGGCGTGTCGGCAGCAGGGTTGCTCCCGGGTGCGGGCGCTGCTACATGCAGCGGGATCCCGGGTGCGGAAGTTGCAAGATCCGGCGGGATTCCGGGTGCGGGCGTGTCACCAGCCGTGCGGCTTAAGGGTGAGGGAGTAGCAACTGCGAGCGGGATCCTGGGTGCGGGAGTTGCAACAGCAGGCGGGATTCCGGGTGCGGGAGTTGCAACACCAGTCGGGATTACGAATGCGGGAGTTGCAACATCAGGCGGGATTCCGGGTGCGGGAGTTGCAACACCAGTCGGGATTACGAATGCGGGAGTTGCAACATCAGGCGGGATTCCGGGTGCGGGCGTGTCAGCAGCAGGGTTGCTCCCGGGTGCGGGCGCTGCTACATGCAGCGGGATCCCGGGTGCGGAAGTTGCAAGATCCGGCGGGATTCCGGGTGCGGGCGCTGCACCAGCCGGGTTGTTCCCGGGTGCGGGAGTCGCAACCGCGGTGTTGCAACCGTGTGCGGGAGTTGCAACTGCATGCGGAAACCCGGGTGCGGTAGTTGCAAACGAAGGCGGGATCGCTGGTGCGGAGGTTGCAACAGCAGGCGGCCGCAATGGTTCGGCAAATGCAACAGCCGGGTTCCTCCAGGGTGCGGGAGTATCAGCAGCAAGGGGGATGCCGGTTGCGGGAGTGGCACCAGCATTGGTCAACACTGCTGCTGGTGTAGCTACACCAGGGGGTCTTCTGGGTGCACCCAATCCCACAGATCCGCGAGAAACCCTGCAGGGTCACCGGCCCGCGGCGATGACAGGCCCGAACTATGATGAAGATGTATCGAGAGCAGCTGGATGGCATTTACCTCACACCTCAAACGTGCCCACTGCCACTCAGGAGCCGGTCCCCAATCACGCAATTGTCGCTGCACCTGGGGGTGTACCAAACGTCGCACCTTCCCCGACCTGCAGCTTCACCGGGGTAGGAGCACAGAGTCACCGAGGGCCAGCTGCGTCGGAGAGCATGTCACGCCTGCAGAGCAAGGGGTGCAAGCCAGATATCATAAAGACCCAATACACCGGCGTCACGAGGTTGAGTACGAGCAACACCTGGACAGCAAAAATAGTACTCCAGCGGAAAACAAACTCACAGACAACCATCAGCAGCAAGTTTAGATCGGATGTTGAGGCGGCGCGTGCATACGCGGCTGGGTGGCACCTGGTGTGGGGACATGATCCGTCGTACAAAGGCAACATTATCGAGTTGTCCGCAGGGGACATAGCAAAGCTCCAGGGTTGCGACGCCCGCATGTGTAAGTTGATGATCGAGGAGAAATTTTGGCACCGATGGGAGAACTGGAGGCCAGCATGGGAGGAGTGCATGGTTAAGCTGGCGGCGAAGGAGCGTAAAAATGCGCTGAAGCAGGCTGAGCTTCAGCAGGTGTTGGCTTCAACGGAGGATCGCCCAGGCAAAAAGGCTAGAACGGGGGATGATCCGCAAAACGATGCAGCTGGCTCGTCTGCGGGGAATGGCCAAGAGGGTATGGGGACCAATGTTTAGGGTTCATGGCCATATAGTTCGGATTGGCCGCCTCATGTGTGTGTTCAGGGTAGTCTCCTATAACTGTATGCTGTGATGAAAACATGTGGAGTATAATATAATAGGAACGCTACATGCATCAATAAGCTGTGTCACAGGTCTGTGTGAGCACCGCGGCATTCAAAGATGGCCGCGTGACAAACCCGACAGAAGCCCGTCAAACTCCCGTGAGTGCCGTGTCACGGTTTCGTGACACCCACAGGCAGTTCCTCTGACGATCCCGTCAGAAACCCGTCACTCTCCCGTTAGTGCCGTGTCACGGTTCCGTGGCACCCATGTGCACTTCCTCGCTACGCTCCCGTATGGGCCCCGTCACACGCCCGTAAAGTCCATGTCATGGGTCCGTGAAGCAGATGTCATTCAAAAAAGGCTGGGTGACGATCCCGTCTGAACCCCGTCAAACTCCCGTTAGTGCTGTGTCACAGTTCGGTGACAACCACGTGCAGTTCCGAGGGACAGAGAAGGCCGGGATACGATCCCGTCATAACCCCGTCAGACTCCCGTTAGTGCCGTGTCACAGTTCCGTGACATTCTGTTGCAGTTCCTCTGGACGGTCCCGTATGAACCCCGTCACACCTCCAATAACATACTGGACACGAGTACGAGCGAACCACGTGACACTCAGTTGGCCGCGCCCCTGTCCGGCAGAACCCCGTCATACTCCCGTTACTGTGAGGTTACGGGTCAGTGACACCCGCATGCACAGTCTCGTCTGAACTGAACCCCATCACAGTGGTTTAGTCCCGGCGGGCACCAGCATCAGCCTACATTTTCTGGTGGTAAATGTATCCAGTTCTATCAAGTACGAGTCCATTATACTGAAGGTACTAATATACCATCCAGCAAGAAAATTTACCATCAACGATCCCCAAAAAAAGGAAAAAACTACTCCACACACCATTTTCCACTCCTACTCGTCTCCCCAAACTGTTGTGCACAACGGGAAACAAACCGATAAGCATGTTTAACGCGATTTGGGCTTTGATCTTGGTAGATCAACCCTCTTACGCTTTGGACGTTCCGAATGCTTCAACACATCCGTCCGCTGTTTCGCCCGTATCTTCTCCTCGCAATCCTTCCAGGCTTCCCTCCAGTTCTCCCACCTGTGCCAGAACTTGTGACGAATCATCAATATGCACTTCTCTTTTGTGCAATCCAGTAGCTTAGCCTTGTCCGCCGCAGTCACGTCAATGACGTTTCCACGCGGAGCATCATTTGGCCCGAAGATGACATGCGATCCGGCGGCCAGAGATCTCGCGGCATCTCTTTCAGACCGAAACTTACTGCCGATGATGATCGATGCGTCGGAGTCCCGGTCACAAATGAGTTTAGCAACCCACCGGTTGCTATCTGGAATACGTGAAACTCCCACGTAGTGCGACTTGCTCCCGTCTGTAACGAGTTTGGGTGGAAGGGGGACTTCATTGGCCGCTTCGGCCGTCGGGTCGCGCGTATTCCCTGATCCCCAGCTCTCCGCAAACTGCTTCACGATGTCCAACGTCAGTGTTACCGTGGCAGCCATCCCATCGCAAGTGGTGCCGTACTTCGTTACGAGGTCTTTGAGGTTTGTCAACTCATTATTGACGCGATCCAGGCGTGTCCCCTGATTCCTCATCTCCTCGCCCATGTGCCTAACACGCCTATCGACGTATTGCATTGTGTCCGCGCCTTTGTCGCTGTTGCCATCTCTAGCATGATGCCTACAAGCGGGCGGTAACTCCATGGCCCTGCTCCGCAGCTTCTCTAGCAGCTGCCCCTTCCCAGCATCGCACATCAATGCCCTTAACCACCGGCGAAAGTGCGGGGCACAGGTTGGGGGCTCCTTGATGCCGTGCTCCAAGCCGTCGAACGCTCGATCGACTAGCGCGTCCACGAACATGCAAACGTGAATCCCGGAGTCGACGTCGTGCTCCTGTTGCAGCACCTCGTTGCTCTGCACGTACAACCCACCAAGCATCATAGGTCTCCGTCATAATATTTACGATGCGTTGCAAACATGTAATTTTGTGAAAAATAACGCATTCAAAAAAAGGAGAACACATACGTGCAGTGCTCTGCTGTGTACACAACGTAGACGGCGCGTCAATTCGTCCGCCGTGAGGTGGGGAACCGCGTAAGCAAGCGCCCGTCCGAGAATCCTGGACCAAATCATACAAACATCAGACATCTGCGCGGGGTCCACAACACGGCACAACTCCAAAGTTGAGTACTTACGTGTTGATAACTTTGAAGACTTCTCTGGACATGCGCGTGTGAATCCTTCCCGAGTCGAAAAGGACAACCAGTGGCATCTCGTCAGTTGACCAAGCCCACTCCTCATCCGTTTTCATCGACGCCGCAGCACCATTAACTACTGCAAGGCTCATGTGGTTGGGGGGGGAACTCCTGCGGATGCGCGAAGGAACTCAAACACACGATTAAACACTGAAACTACATAATCAGACCCTTGGTGAGCCACGACGGATCTGCCTTACTTACTTTTCAGTGACCACAATGCAGATGTAGTCGTACAATAGCAGTTTTTCCAGGTTGACAACGCCCTTGAGATCCTCGCTACTAGCTGACTTGTAAGCGGCCGTATCTAGAGCAACCCACGATTTGCCAGTTGGGAGCTCAGGGTGGATGAGGCTCACAACACTGCGTGACAGTACAGGCGGCGATATGAGTACACAATATGTAAGAGCTCCTCGTTTTATGCTAGCAACCGCGGTACTCACACGTTGTGGAAATCCATAGTAGAAGGGGGGATATCATATCCGTCTTGAATGCGGAGAGCATCCTTCAGCCCCACCTTTCCACTCTGCCCGTTGTGATTCGTGATCTCCGGACTGGGGAAGTACTGGCTGGTAAACGAAGAAGGGAGGCGTTCCGTGTGGGATTTAGGCACTCTCACGCCTTTAGACAATCTAGAGATGATGTCGTCAGCATCGTGCATCGGTTCGTCCCCCACAATAGTGACGGGAACATCGAAACTGACGCACGGTGGCACCGTCAGCCCTGCCGCATGCTGTTTACCATGAGAGAGACGCCTTGCCTCAGTTTGATGGAGTTTAGGCGACATGCTGCACTCAGAGAAGACACACGCGATAGAAGCTACCGAATTACCCTCCTAACTATCGTAGTGCCCACTGGGAGTGGTATAGCCCAGGACTCCGATTTGTGTGTGGTACTTGCTGAGGGAGCGCGGCAACTTGTTTGACGGGACGTTCACCTTGGCCACATCTCTGCCTTGTGTTTCACGCAGCCAAGGACGCTGATGGTGCGGGATTCTGTGCCAGATGTCACTCTCGCACAGGACTGCCTAATGACGTCGAATTCGACGAATGAGTGCTGGTCTGGAGTTGCATGCAGTTGATCTCTCGCGCAGGTACGTACTCCACATTGCATCACACATCGCCATGGAAAGCAACTACTGTACCTGTTGTACCATCTTCTACATCAGACGTAGGCCATTGGATAGACTATGCATACCCATTTTGAGTTCGCAATTCACTACACCCAAGGAAAAGCAGGAAATGTTTGATGACGCGCATAGGTGTGGTATCAAGCACACAGGTTGAACCAGGTTAACGAAATAATGTCACGTCCCAGACTCGATTACACCGGTAAGACCGACGAACTGCGTAGAGTAATATAGGTTACGAATAATGCAAAAATATTGCCCACTCCAGGCAGTGTTGGAGTGAAAAGGGAATATAGGTTTCGTAAGTGTCTGTAGTGTTGTCACACGGTTGGAAATGAAGGAGATTTTGAATCTCGACAGAAGTGACCATAACAATGCGGTACAGGGGTTTATATAGGAATATAGTGGAATACGAAAGGTCCTAGCTAGCCATGTACTCTGAGGGGGTACATTGCTCTTAGGGCACGTCTAGGTGCAGCATCGCAACCGTGCGATCCGGTAACCGTATGCGGTGCGGTAACCGTTATAACTTTTCCCGCACTTTTCATCTCAAATTCTTCCTGCTACTGTCTTCGATAACTGTCCTGACGCTTGGTCTTTCGTCCTCGCTGCAGTCATCTTCGCGTTGAGGATGTCAGACTCCCAGCCACTAACCACTGGGATAAAAGGGCTTGTTTGTATAGCGGGTAAGGCGCCCATAACTCCCCAGACCAACATCCCTGTAACCCTTTCCTAGGATCAATCGGGGATCACCAGTGGACCTCTGACGGAGGATTCGTTACTTTAGGAATGTGAATTCAATCTTTCATACTTGTACCCAACACCTTCATACTGCAGCTATTCCTGCCTAGACTTGTAACATGTATCTGCGTGTTTTATTATCGCAAGGATTTTACATTCACTCTGCTATTGAGGTCAACGGCCCACCACCACTAATTCAGTAGTGTGCGAATCTTCATGAGGTGATCCTGGTTACGATCATCTTCTGCTCGCAGCACCACCGTCAACGAATGGCAACAGGCGTACCCACCTGTACGGTTATTTAATCAAGACTGACGTTTACATTCACTCAGCACAAGGTTATTTTCAGTTAATAATCCGTTACAAAAACAACAAGGCATTCCTATCCTATACAAGATCCTTAGTCTAACAAACCGTAGCTAAGTGATGCACGTAGTATCGAGAATGAGCATGAAGAGTCGGAGCCGACTCGCAGCGACGCAATGAATTTGTAACGGATCTGGACCGTCGGAGCAGGCCACTTCTAGCAGCTGCTGGAGTTTGGTAATCTGGCGCGTACAAATTCGTGAACTTTCGACAGGGGAACATTGTAATGTGTGATTATTTTTGAGTTGTTCTTGCATCACGCAAATTCTGTTGTGTAATATCGACTTTTGAAAGCTAATTGTCGAACCGAGTCCGAAACCATATCGAAACCTACGCGCGTACTCACACGTTCACCAGCGGGTGGTTATCCACTAGGAAACCAATTGGTGACTCACGTGAACTTGACGGGTCCTTTACGGGGACCCAACAGCAACGTGACGGGGCATTCACGGGTATGTGAAAAAGTGCTCACGGTAGTCTGGCGGGATCTTCACGAACCGTCAGACGCTGGATCTCACACACGCGCGTAAAGTGGCACGTGACTCGAGCGCTACGGGAGCCTCACGTTGTCTTCACGGGGGCTTAACGGGTGGTGAACAGAGTCACCGTTGACAAACAAATACGTTACGGGGGTTTCACGGGTCTACAACACAATTTACGCATATTGGGAAAGTGCTACCTCACTGACCATAGTCGTGAGATCTAACAGGCGTAAACTAAAACCATGGTTTATAGTAGCACTACGTCTGGGTTGGACACCGGTCCTCCTTTCACTACACATTTTGGGCTCAATGTAAATAGCTGGTTATTACGGACGGTGCTATTATCCCTATAATTTACTACTAAACAAGTATCAAATGGTAATTGGAAGCTGGTTCAATACACCTTAAACTATTCCCGCGGCACTCGCAGCAGCACCAATCCCACCTGCACCACTCCCAGCTGCACCACTCCCAGCAGCACCACTCCCAGCAGCACCACTCCCAGCAGGTCCACTCCCAGCAGCACCACTCCCAGCTGCACCACTCCCAGCAGGTCCACTCCCAGCAGCACCACTCCCAGCTGCACCACTCCCAGCAGCACCACTCCCACCAGCACCACTCCCAGCAGCACCACTCCCAGCAGCACCACTCCCAGCTGCACCACTCCCAGCTGCACCACTCCCAGCAGCACCACTCCCAGCAGCACCACTCCCAGCAGCACCACTCCCAGCTGCACCACTCCCAGCAGCACCACTCCCAGCTGCACCACTCCCAGCTGCCCCACTCCCAGCTGCCCCACTCCCAGCTGCACCACCCCCAGCAGCACCACTCCCTGCACCACCACTCCCAGCACCACCCGGCTCTTCACCCCGTCCAGCAGCACCTCTCCCACCACCTCTCCCACCACCTCTCCCACCACCTCTCCCACCACCTCTTCCACCACCTCTCCCACCACCTCTCCCACCACCTCTCCCACCACCTCTCCCACCACCTCTCCCACCACCTCTTCCACCACCTCTCCCACCACCTCTCCCACCACCTCTACCACCACCTCTCCCACCACCTCTCCCAGCACCCCGCCCAGCTCCTCTACCATCACCAAGCCCCTCCGTAGTCCCGGCACCTGTATCAGCTCCGGGTTCATCAAATCTCCCAGCTCCATGCCCAGCACCAGTTCCAACTCCTTGCCCTCCACCACGCCCAGCACCTCTCCCAGCACCACCCCCTGCTCCTATCCCGATCCTTTGCCCAAATCCGTAACCCCCAAACTTGTACTTGCATGTGCTCCTGTTGTGACCGTATTGCTCGCACCTCCCGCACTTGTAACCTTGGCCGGTAGCCTCCATACGCTCGTGGTTCTCCGGTCGGCCGACCCTTGTTTCAATCAAGTGTGGTGCATCACACTCGCCTGGTGGCACAGGAGGGGCCTCTCTTACCAGCCTGTCCACGCACGTTCCCCAAACGTTCGGTGCATACATCTTACGCTGATTGCTTGTGGTGTAGTAGTGAGATACCAGGATCTCTGGGCTCCTCTTCTTCATGACACACAGAGCCACAGCATGTGCACAAGGAAACTTGTACTCCTGCCAGTTCCCACACTCACATGATTTCGTAACCAGGTTGACGTTGTAGCTCCTCCATTCCTCATCGTTCTCCCCTCCACGAGTCTGTATCGTCCCAGCATTATCGTCTCCTCCCAGGAAGAAGTACTCCTTTGCACGTTTGAGCTTTTTCGTCATTCGCTCTGCTGCTGCCGCAGTTAAATGATTGTCACTTCGCCAAGCTTCGGCGCGGCGCTCATACCACTTATCCCTAAACCAGTCCCACAATGACGCCAGCAGCCAGGTAGGGGGCAGCATCCTGATTTTTTTTATTGCTCCGTTAAGCGTTTCCGCGGCATTGCTGGTGTAAATCCCAAACCTGCTGGTGTAACTAGTCTGGCCCAGTGCACTAGTTGTATCCCGCCAATTCTGTACCGTGACCCCTGTCTGTTGCGGTGAAACCCGGTCTGCACATGAATGCCCCCCTCCTCGTCGTCCCTCCCGTCACCCGCTCCTGGAGCACCTTCCCCGGGCACGTCCTCGTCATCCTCGTAACCCGGTTCTTCCTCACCAGCATGGAGGGCGTCGCCATGCGGCCCCGTATCCGGCCATGGGAGTGCAAGGATCTCAGTGAGGCCAGCGTGCAAGTTATCATCAACATCAAGCGCCGAATGTCGCCAACTGTGCTCATCAGTGGTATGCGGCAGCTACTTCGTTAATGATAGTGTCGGCCCTGTAACCCTCTCGTGCCTCGCTGTAAATTGCGCCCAAGTTGAACGGTCCACCCCCTCTTGCGGCACCCGGCGCGACGGGAATTCCTCCATTCAGTGGCACACCTCCAATAGGTGATCCACCACCACCACCTTCTCCGACACCCCCGCGATGTTCGCGTTGCCCGCTTCCCAGGCCCATGCCCACGCTGCCATAACGAAAGTCACTCCCTATGCCACCGGTGAAACCTGGCCCCATGCCTACACCCCCTAACCCTGCTCCAGAGCTCATCCCCAACCCTACCCCTCCCACCCCGGCTCCAGAACTCATTCCCGTTCCACCATGCCCAGTCCCTGATGTTGTTCCCACTCCCAACCACTCACCACCCAACCCTGCTCCAGGCCCCATCCCGACTCCATCCTGTCCCGTTCCAATACGTGTCACGCCGCCTTCTGAAGTTCCCACCCGCATACCAACCCCTCCCACTCCTGCCCCAGATCCCAACCCCAGGCCAAAGCCGCTCATCCCGTGAGCAGTCCCCGCACCCACACCCACCCCTCCCACTCCTCCAGATGCCACCCCACGGCCAACACCAGCAAACCTGGCCGCACTCCCTGCACCCACGCCCACCCCTCCCACTCCTGCCCCAGATCCCAACCCCAGGCCAAAGCTGCCCATCCCCTGAGCAGTCCCCGCACCCACTCCCACCCCTCCCACTCCTGCCCCAGATCCCAACCCCAGGCCAAAGCCGCCCATCCCCTGAGCAGTCCCCGCACCCACGCCCACCCCTCCCACTCCTCCTCCAGATCCCACCCCTCGGCCAACACCAGCAAACCTGGCCGCACTCCCTGCAGTCACGCCAACCCCTCCCACTTCTGCCCCAGATCCCAACCCCAGGCCAAAGCCGCCCATCCCGTGAGCAGTCCCCGCACCCACACCCACCCCTCCCACTCCTCCAGATGCCACCCCACGGCCAACACCAGCAAACCTGGCCGCACTCCCTGCACCCACGCCCACCCCTCCCACTCCTGCCCCAGATCCCAACCCCAGGCCAAAGCCGCCCATCCGCTGAGCAGTCCCCGCACACACGCCCACCCCTCCCACTCCTGCCCCAGATCCCAACCCCAGGCCAAAGCTGCCCATCCCCTGAGCAGTCCCCGCACCCACGCCCACCCCTCCCACTCCTCCTCCAGATCCCACCCCTCGGCCAACACCAGCAAACCTGGCCGCACTCCCTGCAGTCACGCCAACCCCTCCCACTTCTGCCCCAGATCCCAACCCCAGGCCAAAGCCGCCCATCCCGTGAGCAGTCCCCGCACCCACGCCCACCCCTCCCACTCCTCCAGATCCCACCCCACGGCCAACACCAGCAAACCTGGCCGCACTTCCTGCAGTCACGCCAACCCCTCCCACTCCTGCCCCAGATCCCGACCCCAGGCCAAAGCTGCCCATCCCCTGAGCAGTCCCCGCACCCACGCCCACCCCTCCCACTCCTCCAGATCCCACCCCTCGGCCAACACCATCAAACCTGGCCGCACTCCCTGCAGTCACGCCAACCCCTCCCACTCCTGCCCCAGATCCCAACCCCAGGCCAAAGCCGCCCATCCCCTGAGCAGTCCCCGCACCCACGCCCACCCCTCCCACTCCAGCCGTACTCTCCTGCGTTCCCAACCCAAATCCGCCGGTGCCCGAACCGTGACCCCAGGTGCGTCCTAGATCGTCCTCCCCATCGACCTGTCCGCTAGAATCTGGCATCCCACCCCCCGCAGACGCGCGATCAACACCTCCACCATGCGCGCTTCGACTACCACCGACACCATGTCCACTCTCCATGCCGAATCGTGTTCGCGTTGCAGTAGCCCCTGATACCCCTTCCCTCCTGCCATTTGCAAAGCCTCTGCTGCCACTTGGCCCAAACATCCCGAAACCTGTCCCACTTCCGACACCCAAACCAGCCCCCCCGAACTGGAAAGCACCCGTGCCTGGCGTGCCCCGTGCACGTACTCCACCCCCTGCAAAACCGGGAGCATCATCCCCGGACGAATCACTTTCCGAGGCCCCTTGAACTCCCGTGCTGCCGGCCCCTCCTCTAAAGGTTCGCCCAAAGACCTGAGCATTGGGAGCGTTGATGCCACCCCTCCCTGCCATTCCGCCACCACCCCGGTTGAACCGGGCTGTGCCGACACCCGGGACGCCCATGCCACCGTGCGGCTGATTTGGGCTTTGGGTCCCACCGGCAGGAGGTCCGTGGCGGGCGTTTCTGGCCTCTCGTCGTCCTTGTCGGCCAGCTGCAAAAACGTATGCTCTAGTTCCTTCACACGTTCCTCGGGCCTGTGGGGGGGGCTGAGCATCTGCTGGAGGGGGTACGCTCTGTGCGGGTGGTTCCACTGGGCCAAAAAGGTACAGTGCCATCTCCGGGAAGAGGTATCTGCACGCAAGAACCAGGGCGATCCACTTTATCAGGCTCCGGCACTTAACCAGCCTCCAGTAGAATTTCTGGGCTTTTGCTTTGAATCGCCTCAGGTTCTGCTCGAGATGCCATGCGCAGAAGTAATGAGGGATGTGACTAGGCATCACCTCCCGAGCGGCAGGAACCAAACCCTTATCTCGGTCGCTGATGATCGAGGCGTGCTTCCGCTGCGTCCATTCTGGAAACCCATCGATGAAGTGCTTCAAAAACCACGTCCAAGATTCCTTGTTCTCAGACTCCACCAACCCCCATGCCAGCAGCAGGACTATCTGGTTCCCATCAAGCGTAACCGCGACAAGAAGCACTGCTTTCTGCGCGCTGATGAGGTGGGTCCCGTCAAACGCTACCACTGGACGGCACAATGTGAGGGCGTGCCGGGCAGCAGAAGGCCGGACAAAAAAACGGTGAAAGAGTCCACCAAGCGTGTCAAGATGCACCTTCACCTCCGGGTCAATGACCTTGAAACGGTCGACAAGCAATGGCACCTGCCGGAAGGACTCCTTCCAATCCCCGTACATTTCCTTGATGATGTGTTCTCTCAGACGCCATGCCTGCCAGTAATGGATTTCGACGCCCCCGTGACCCTCCATGAGCCTCATCAGCTGAATGGGCGCAATAAACGGTTCGGCACGCACCATGTTGCCGTAGGCTCGTAGTAACACTGGCAACTTGTTAGCGATTGCAACTGCGTACTCGTAGCGGGCCGGTGCCGGGCAGTTATGGGTCTCCGGCGGGGCGAGGGACGTGATGCGCCAATATCCAGTGTCGAGGTCCTCAGAGTATGCGCAGTTCCAGAAACATTCCACGTCCGGCAATTTATCAGCAACCGCCTTACACCCGACCACTACATACCGCGTCTTCGTCATGTGCATATGGTAACCAAACTGGTGCATGAGCGCGAATTCCTGTAAAGCCTCGAAGCACTTATCTCGCGATGAGTATAGCCCGCCTAGTGCAAGTGGCGCATCATCGTCAGGCGCATCTGGTACAGGGTCAAAATCTCGGACAGAATGCATTGCGCGGAGGATTTTCAGCCCTGGATTAGACGCCACCACGCTTAATGCGTTGCCATATGGTATTAGCACCAGCAGCCCTACGTGGGGGGAGACCTACATTACAAGTCACTAAGGTTCACGTAAACTTAGATCTGCAAGACGCTATCAGTGGTTGTGCGGGTGGGGTGAATGATTGTGGGTGCTTACCTGAGGGCGCGTTACATAAAAGTTAAAGAAGAGTTTGTTCTCCTTAAATAAAGAAGAAACGACAGGTCCTAAACGTTACAATTATCTTTCAGAGTGGCTTACAGTGGTGGAAAACAAGGGTCACGCCTTGAAATGGCCTTCATAACTTTGCTGTAACGCGCCCTGAAGGCGGTAGTCTTGGCTCCAGCAGGTGATGACGAGCATTGTAGATACACCTGAAACAGGCACAACACAAAAATATCTACCGCCCGTCTGCCACTGTGCATCACGAAGCACTATTGATCATGGCTGCAGAGGCGCTTCAAGACAAATCCTAGCCATCATTGCCCTGGGATTGCCCTAGTTTCTTTCTCACGCAATAGCGTGACCTTTTAAAGACCCTAAACACAAAGAAAACAAATACGCAGAACAACAAACCCTTGCAACGGGTGTAGAAACAAGTGGCAGTCCAAGGGATTGAGAAAAAATGAAAAACGTGGAGAACAGTGCGAGGGTATTCCACAGGATTGAGCAAAATGTGAAACACGTCGCGTCGCGCAATTATTTCGGTCACAGGTCTATGTTGGGGTTCGTGTCGCGTTTTTGGCCCACGTCCGGCATGTTTTTCGTTTTTTCATCTACTGACCGTAGTGTTTTGCCTGGTTCGTCAAGGTCGAACAGGCCCGACGTTTTCATCCTCCGTCCCATGCCCTCCCGTCGATCCCCTGTGGCTGCCGAACATCGCCCAGACGCCACAAATACAAGTGCTTCAAGGCAAATCTATCTCCAAATTACTCGACTCACACTAGTTCCCTTCAGAGTTCTAACGTCTCCCCGTCGACTTCGATTAGAAATCTAGAGGGTATCTCTCGCATCGGTACTTCGCTTATCAACTGGACAGTCAGCATCATCTCCCGCTAGCGCGTCACCGCGTATACTCCAGAACTTCGCACATCCTATTTTCGTCGCAGCAACACCTACCGAAGCTAACATGGCAACTTCGCGCTCGCACACGTTTGCTCTCATCGCGGCGCTGCTGCTGCTCGCCGCTTGCCACGCGGACGCAGCGCCGACGGTGGCGCAATTCCGGGCGGAACTCAACGCGCTGAAGGCGGTGTTGGCCAAGACGAAGGAATACTCGGCGTTCGGGAAAGGCGTCGATAAAATGCGTGAGTACTGCTCCCCTACACGCCTTGCTGCTAAACGGCGCCCCTTCTCAAATCAGCTACGCCTACATCTCAAAAATCCCGAAAGGGTTTTCGGTATGCGGTTTTCCGTTCCGAAAACAGTAGGCGAAATGAATCCCCGTATGGTAAGTAAATGTGTACTCTATAGTTACCAAAATTGGTTTAGTATGTAAAACGCTACTGTAAAACGATTTTGTATATGCTAAATTTATATATTTCCTCCTACTTGCTTGCAAATGTTCTCAGATTGAGCTAATCATCAGGAAAATGTGAAACTGCCGAGTATGGAGGGGGGGGGAGATAACCTGTTTCAAACAATTGAGCAGGTAAAATTGTGCAAGGATGTGTCTGTCCGACACGTGGTGCCAAATTATCGTATGTTTGTCGTTTTAAACGATGTTTCTTTTAATCATTCAAGCATTTACTATGTTGTGAGCGTGGTGGAAAATATTTGGTGTCATTTGCAGCATCCGGTAGGAAGATATGCCGTTTCAAACAATTGAGCAGGGAAAATTGTTCACGGATAGGCCTGTGCGCAACATGTAACTGTTTCAACGTTTGGGTGTTTTGTTTACCTCTATTTCTTCACACATTTCCCTAGTACATCCTATTTCCTTTACATAGGAACTGTTTTGAGCTCGTTCGCACAACTACGCAGCACGTGGCGCATGTATGTGCGTTCCATGGTGAATCTGTGGAAGGATAGGCCTGTATGCAACATGTCAGCTCGCCAACGTCTAGATGACTTTTATACCACTATTTATTCACAAAGTTCCCTAATTTATCCTATTCTCTAGCCATAGGAACTGGTTTGACCTCGTTCGCACAACTGCGCAGCACGTGGCGCATGTTTGTGCGTTCCATGGTGAATCGGTGCAAGGATAGGCCTGTGCGCAACATGTCAGCTCGCCAACGTCTGGATGCATTTTTTACAACTATTTCTTCACACAAGTTCCTACTACATCCTATTCCCTAGCCATAGGAACTGGTTTGACCTCGTTCGCACAACTACGCGGCACATGGCGCATGTTTGTGCGTTCCATGGTGAAACTGTGCAAGGATAGGCCTCTACGCAACACGTCAGCTCGCCAACGTCTAGATGCCTTTTTTACCACTATTTCTTCACACAGTTCCCTACTACATCCTATTCCCTAGTCATAGGATTTGGTTTGACCTCGTTCGCAAAACTACGCGGCACGTGGCACATGTTTGTGCGTTCCATGGTGAAACTGTGCAAGGATAGGCCTGTACGCAACATGTCAGCTCGCCAACGTCTGGATGCCTTTTATACCACTATTTATTCACACGGTTCCCTAATTTATCATATTCCCTAGCCATAGGAACTGGTTTGACCTCGTTCGCACAACTGCGCAGCACGTGGCGCATGTTTGTTTGTTCCATGGTGAAACTGTGCAGGGATAGGCCTGTACGCAACATGTCACTGTTTCAATGTCTGGGTGTGGTTTTTACCTCTCTTTCTTCACAAATTTTCTTAGTACATCCTATTCCCTAGCCATATGAACCGGTTTGACCTCGTTCGCACAACTACGCAGCACGTGGCGCTTGTTTGTGCATTTGCTGGCCTGAAACTGTATAGGGATAGGGCTGTGCGCAACATGTCACTGTTTCAACGTCTGGGTGTTGTTTTTACCTCTATTTCTTCACACATTTCTCTAGTACATCCTATTCCCTAGCCATAGGAACTGGTTTGACCTCGTTCGCACAATGACGCAGCACGTGGCGCTTGTTTGTGCATTTGTTGGCCTGAAACTGTGCAGGGATAGGCCTGTGCGCAACATATCACTGATTCAACATCTGGCTGTTGTTTTTACCTCTATTTCTTCACACATTTCTCTAGTACATCCTATTCCCTAGCCATAGGAACTGGTTTGACCTCGTTCGCACAACGACGTAGCACGTGGCGCTTGTTTGTGCATTTGTTGGCCTGAAACTGTGCAGGGATAGGCCTGTGCGCAACATGTCACTGTTTCAACGTCTGGGTGTTGTTTTTACCTCTATTTCTTCACACATTTCCCTATTAAATCCTATTCCCTAGCCATAGGAACTGGTTTGACCTCGTTCGCACAACCACGCAGCACGTGGCGCTTGTTTGTGCATTTGCTGCCCTGAAACTGTGCAAGGATAGGTCTGTGCGCAACATTGTGAAGATAGGAGCTTAAGCTAAGAAGCCATAGCTAGGTTTTAGGTTATATGAAAGAGAAATAGGAGAAGAAGGTGAGTTTCACTAGCAGCAATGAGGATACATATACCAAACCCTAGATGGGTTGTACTCGCTATAGAGCACCCCACTACAGGCTAGAGAATAACATTCTGACACACCCCCATAGCCAAAGTGGGGTGTAATCAGTACAATGAGCAAGCAGGTATAGAGCAGGAGTTCACAAAGGTAAGCAAAGTTAGAGCTAATCACAGAGGGCAAGTGAGGAGGAGGAGAGACTGTGGAGGGAGAGAAGATGGGAGGCAACGACTGAAGCTGCAGAGGCACGGGCACAGGAGCGGCTGACTCAGAGGCTACCGAAGCAAGGGCGACGGACTACTGGAGTGACTGGCTCCGCGGCTATAGACGAGCGGCAGGAGCAACGGACCCACTGGCGACTGGTGCAACAGGCTCACTGGCTACCGAAGCAAGGGCGACGGACTACAGGCGCTGCAGGCGACAAGACAGCTACCTTCACACAACCTCCTCCAACTGCTCCACTCCCCTCTCACACACCCCCTGTTCAAACCCTAGCTCCACTCCCACAGCACCCCCTTTAAGCCCTAAACCCTAGGCTCCCACACACCCACCCCCCTCAGCGACAGCTGCAGCAGTGGGAGACAAGGGAGGAGGAGGAGCAAGGGGAGGAACACATAACCGCCACCCCCACGCTCTGCACCCCACACCCCCAGTCTCAGTACCCCCAGGCTCAGAACCCCCAGTAGTAGCACCCGTAGGCTCAGCACCCCCAGGCGTAGCACCCACACGCTCAGCACCCCCAGAGTCAGCACCCCCAGGCTCAGCACCCTCAGCAGCACCAGAGTCACCAGTAACCTCGACAGGCTCGACTGCGTCTACCTGGGACACACCTGAAGGGGCAGGACCCTGAGGGGGGAGGGGGTCTACCGGGGGGGGACCTGGCACAAGGAAGAGCGGTGGCGGGGGGAGGGACGGAGTGCGGTAGGGGAAGAGGCGGTAGTAGGGGACCGACTCGTCAAACGTGACGTCCTGGGAGGACAGAACACGGCGAGAGGTGGGGTGGTAGAACTGCCACCCTGGCGCGTCAGGGGGGAAGCCAAGGAAGACGCAAGGAGCAGCACAAGGGGACAGCTTGTCCGCAGACAAGTCGCAGACAAACGCCCGAGATCCCCAGACACGGAACGCAGACGCATCGCCAACCTTCCCCGTCCACAGCAAAGCTGGGGAGGTCTCCGGCATGGAGACCCTGGGGTGAAGGTTGATCTGATGCGCCGCGTACCGAACCGCAAACGGCCACAAAAAATGGGGGGCAGCCGCATGCATCATGGACGTACGGGCGACGTCCATGACCATGCCAATGCGGCGCTCAGCAATCCCATTTTGCTGTGGAGAGTCCGGAAGCGTGAAGGTCTGGCGGATGCCTCGTGCACGACAGTAGGCTCGCAGAAGGCCAGAGGAGAACTCTCCGCCTCTGTCAGAGTGCAGACGCAGAACAGGAAAGTCCGAGCCGAAGCTCTGCCTGAGCTGGAGACGAGCTGCGCGGATCCAGTCGATCAACACCTCAGTGACATCACCCTTGCTGCGCAAGGGGAAGACTGTGGTGTAACGCGAGTAGTCGTCAACCACCAGCAGGAAGTAGCGCTCGTGACCCTGTCCACGGACGCGGGCCGGGCCCCACACGTCCATGTGAAGCGTCTGCAGCGGGGCCTCTGTCGGAGGAAACTGGGAGGAGTGAGGGGCAGCCCGCTGCCGCCCCTCGACACAGGGGACACAGGTAGGGCCAGGCCCCGGAGGAAGGGGAGGGAGGGACCGGGGAAGACCAGAGACAAGGACACGGGAGGCCATGCCTCGGAGACGAAGCAGGGAGGGGTGACCAAGGCGGTGGTGCCAGAGGAGAGTCTCGTGAGACAGGAGGCGACACGAGCAGGGGGCAGACTCAGGACCAGACCTGGACGCTGCAGCAAACACCTGACCCGACGCAGCTACCTGACCAGACGCAGTGACTGGAGGAGACGCAGTGGTCAGTGTGTACAGGCTCGACCCCGGCCGACGTGTAAACGTGGCCAGGTGTCGGCCTGTCCAAGCGTCCGTGCAGTGGGTCACCCGCTGACTCGCAGAAGTGAACTGGTGAACCCCCGCATCCTGTAGGTCAGCACCACTCACCAAGTTCGTAGAGAACGAGGGGAGGTAAAGACCAGACAGGGTGCCAGAGGGGGGCCGCCGGACACGGGAGGACAGTGGAGTAGTGAGCAAGGACAGGACCCCCAGAGGGGTCTGCCAGAGAGACTGCAACTGGCCGGCCAAGCGGCGTGAGTGTGGTGCGGTCTCGAAAGAAGGAGCGAGAAGCCCCCGAGTCAAGGGTGAAGGTGTGGGAGGCCGAAGCCGACGCAGTACCTGAGAGAGCAGACTCACCAGCACCTGAGGGAGCAGACGCACGAGCACCTAGAGCAGCAGCCTCGCTAGCACCTAGAGCAGCAGCCTCACCAGTACCTAGAGCAGCAGTCTCAATGCCCGGGTCGGGCGGAAAACACCGGTAACAGTCACCCTCATCACTAATAGTCACAGCATACATGGCAGCAAGAATAGCATCAAAGTCAAGGTCAAAGACAGCTACTCCCGCCCTAGACAGCTCGCCCCAGCGGGGGATCTCAGTGGCCTCCGGGAACTGGTGACGCCAAGCGTCCGTCAGGCGGCCAAAGCAGCGCTGGGTGGAGTGCGCACCCCCGCACTGCTCACCCGCGCGGTCGCCGGTGCGTAGGACGTAGGTGCACGGACCAGTACCCCCACCCCGCTGGCGTGCAGCGTACCACTCACTGTTTCAACGTTTGGGTGTTGTTTCTTCCTCTATTTCTTCACACAGTTCCCTAGTAAATCCTATTTCCTTGCCGTAGGAACTGGTTTGACCTCTTCGCACAACTACGCAGCTCCCGATGCTTTTTCGTGCGTTTGCTGGCCTCAATCTGTGCAAGGATAGGCATGCGCGCAACATGTCAGCTCGCCAACGTCTGCATGCCTTTTTTACCACTATTCCTTTGTTCAAAGGAGAAAATCCAACTCTCATAAAGCTGATGCATCGACTTATGTGACCAGTAGGGCTGTTAATATGTTTTACAGGATCTTAAACACAATTGACCGTATATGTATTGATGATTACTCATATAAGGTTCCGCATGTGTATGATATTGAATACAAAGATTTGATTCATGGCCCTTTTGATTATTTGGGAGTTTATTTGCTATCATAGACGGGGATTTTTAAATACCAGTAATTTCACTTGGTTGTCTGTCAAATATTTAGCACAGTAATCGGATATATAGAAATCATGTTTTTGTGTGTATTGTGAAGTTTTAATGACGCGACACGCACAAACACTTCTGCCGTCGTTTTTCAACATCCACGTCATTTTGGGCATTCATTGGTTCATTCGATTTACAGCAACAAATGGTTGGCGATACGGATACATTCTGATTGGTTAAAAAAAATTGTTTGCGATGAGTTTGCTTGAATTGGACTGCCAGCACAACTCTGCTGAGCAATCGCGCTGCAGATGCTTCCAGCGCAACCGCTGAATATGCCAACCCAGCGCAGCCGCTCTAGTGCCAGCGCAATGCAACAACCGCGCAGCTGCTGTAAATGTCACTGGTGCAACTGCGCTGCTGCTGTAACTGCCTCTGGCGCAATTGCAGCAGCGCCCGCCAAACGCACTATCTCCAGCGCCACAATTTCTCTCTCCTCCCCAATCCCCCCAGCCTCCCCCTTCTCCCCATCGCAACCTAGCATAACTCTCCCACCTCTCAATCTTATTGCGCATGTTTCCATTCAAGTCTCAGCAGAAGCAGATTGATGCTCTACGTGTGTTAGTATGTCATTCCCTTAGTATCTCGCCTGTACATTTGCCTACCTTAGTGTGCGCCCTTCTAACCGTTACTGCCATGCCGTGCGTGCCTGCCTTCGTCAGCCTGTTCTCACCCTGTGTCTCTCCTCAATCCCGGTGCGTCGTTTTAAGTAGGAAGTTATGAGCGTGGTGGCGTGAGACCAACGCTACACTACACGCTCCTGGCGAGTCGCAGCTGTCAGCGCAATAGCGTTGAAGCTGTCGCGTCGCTACACGTTCCTGGCGAGAATCGCGGCATTGGGCGCGGCGGCGTGAAGGATCCACTCCGCTACCTGCTGCTAGCGCAGGTTGGCGTAAGGCGCAAGTTCTGCTGCTCCTGCTGCTGCTAGCTGGATTCGCGACTGGCGTGACGGAGTTTGTTCTCAAGGCGCACGGTCGCTGTCAGTAAGACCCGATCTATGCTACTGATCTGCGGTTGCTTGTTCTTTTGCTATTTCATTAACATCTGACCCTTTTTTATGGCATACTCCAAGCGAAGATCCCTCGGGAATTTTCCAGGTGCTCATCCACACTAACTAACTAACGTCGTTTTTTCGTGTTTATGCGCTACCTTGTGTAATTGCGCTGATAGTTTTCGTTCTCTTCTGATGCATTTCTGATAGCTGTTTTGTGCAGCTTTTGTTAAATCGAGTGAGGTAGGTGGTTGTCTCTGCCGTTGCTTGACATTTTAAACTGAAGTCTGTTCGTTCTTATTCTCAGGAAGTTCAGTGCTGATATGTGCATTAGTGCATTCAGCAAAGTTTCGGTAGTAGAGCCTTTGTAATGCAATATGTTTATTGAAATTGTATATGCAACTTTACTAAAAAATTCCGACATCCAATGTCCCTAGCTGAATATGCAACACATTAGGTAGTGCTTTGTATGGTTTTGATGAGTTTTTTGAATCCTAATTGTTCGATCCAAATATATGCAAAATGCTATGTATTTGGTTGCAGTTAGCATAATCAAATATTGCAGATTATATACTGGCTAGTATGGAAGCGTAAACAGATGGAGAAACAAATGCATACTAAAGAGCAAGTTTTTGTTAGTGCAAATGGTATGTTTTTGGTATGCATTGGTGCTCTACCGTTTACATACTAAACGAACCATACTAAATACCTAAGACGCATGCTACTTTATGGTAGCCCTAACGACCCATACTTTTTGTATACCCCACGGTATGTTGCAAGTATATGTAGCTTATGTAAAACGGTTCATTAATTTTGAGATGTACCCTCTTCTCAAACCTCTCAATTTGAACACTTCTCGGACATTCGGTTAGGGTTCCTATTGATTGACGAACCGAGGCGCGACAAACATGGTCTAGATTCGCTTAACCCGACGAATCAGGCACGTTTCTGTCGTTTCGCCAGCTCCTGCCTATCCACTCACTCTCTCCTCTCCTCTCTCCCGCAAACCACCCGTCCCCCTCTTTCCCCCATGACAGTCAAGTACCCCGACTCGCAGCTGCCGCAGCTGTTCAACACGACGCTGCTGGTGCCGACGAACAAGGCGGTGTACGGCGTGGGGATCAAGACGCTGCAGAACACAACGGCCATGGAGGCCATCGGCAAGTTCAACGTGCTGCAGCGCCAGTTCACCGCCGCGCAGCTACTCAACCTCAAGCCCAACACGCCGCTGCGCACCAAGGCGCCACCCACCGACCTGCTGCAGCGCTACCCCTCCGTGGGCGCTAATGCTGGCAAGGCCGTGCTGGGCCCGCGCAATGCCACTGCTGCCGTGCAGGGGGTGGTGCTCTTTCCCGATCTCTACTCGGGCAAGTTCCTCAAGGCGCATGGCCTCTCCGTGTTCTTCCGCCCCAAGGGCTACTGATACCACTGCCCGTGCCACATGCTGCTCTATGAGCTTGAGGGATAGTGTACCTAGTAGGGTTCCCTGCAGCTTGCATTTAGATCCATGCAGCCTGGTGTCAGAGCCTTGTGTCAGGAGGGTTGGGGGGGTGCCCTGACACAATGTTCTGACACGAGGTTTAGTCAGGAGGCCCTTAGTTGCCTGTTTAGTCTTGATTCACGACTGTACCCCCGTCAAAAAAATCCCTCCTGTTTAGAAGTAAACCCACATGACTTACGGTAACTCGTATACACATTCTGTGCAACACACACATGCTATGCATCACATGCCACGCAAAACATTTTGTGCAACACACGCAAAGTGTCAGATGCCATCGAGTATATCCCATTCATGATGTACATCACATGCCATGCTGCTTATGCCATTCACCAAATGCCACATACGGTATCATATACTGTGCAAAACATATCAAAACATTCCGTCCCATCTCATGGTGTGGAACACATGCCGTGCAAAATATGGCATGTTGCACATGCCACACAACACGTGCCATGCAAAGCCTGCCATGCAACACCTGCCATGCAACACCTGCCATGCAACACCTGCCATGCAACACCTGCCATGCAACACCTGCCATGTAACACCTGCCATGCCAGCACATCCTGTTCCATGCTACGCTAAGAAGCAGAGCACATTTATAAAAAGAACAGGTCAATTCACGTCGGTTCCACAACAATCCAAGACCGCTGAAGATTTTTTAGCTGCGTCTGCGTAAAACACCCTTTTACAAGCAGCTTCGTCACTTGCTTCCCCGTCAAGATAGGCCGCAGCCATCTAGGCTGCAGCCAGGGATTGAAGCTCAGATCCAACATCTTCGGCTGCGGCACCTCACTCACATGCCGCACAAACGTTGCCCGGATGTTCACACACTGCTGTAGCTTTAAGCACTGCAGGCGCCTAAACGACTGCAGCTGCTTGGCACCCTTACAGCTGATGGAGGATCCGGATAGGTCCAGAGAAACCAGCTCGGTGACACAGAGCATGGCTGCATCTGCGTCAAACTTACATCCTGCCAGGCTCATGTCCGTCAACCAAGTCAGCCAGGGCGACATGGTGGAACGACCCAGGGAACTGCTGCTGATGTGGTGAGTTTTGAGCAGCTTGAGCCAGGTCCCCACGCTGCACTGCATGCAAGGTGAGGCGCTCCAAGCGCTGCAGACCAGGCAGCACCTCCCACAGGCTGCCACCCACACGGGTGTGGGACTCGTTTGCGTGGAAACCCGAGTCTGCCAATGACTGACTACGGAAGGACATGGAGACTTCTGGAAGGCCATCGTTGACAAGCGTGAGGACCAAGTCATGGCGGTACATGTGTTGGGGGGCGACCTGCAGGGATCTCAGCGTGGTTAGCATACTGAGGTGCTTCCATCCCTCAAGGGTCACTCTCTCACTGCACGTACAGGAAGCCAACCTGCTGCAGAGTCTCATCAGTGACTGCACTGATGTGCAGCTCCTTTAGACTTCGAACCAGCTGGTTGTCATGTAGCCCTACGGGGCTTTGAGAATGGGGTTCAAAGACTGGGTCGGAATCTTCAGGGCTGTCAAGGACGAGCCTGTGCAGGCGAGAGGAGGAGCGCAGCAGCGGCACGGCTTCTGATGAGATGGGAGTGTGGCGGAGGGTGAGCGAGGTGAGAGAGGGCAGGCGGAGAATGCATTCCATGTTGCGAGCAGAGACAGGGGCGAGCCCAGTGAGAGTGAGCGCGGTGAGAGTGGGAGGAAGGTCGGGACGGCAGCAGGGAGCGAGGGCAAAGAGGAAGTGGAGAGGTTGGTCGTCGTCCAGGGTCCCAAAGCCATATTTGCGGTCCTGGACTGTGATGTGCGCTGCTGAGGGGAGCTGCAGTGAGAGGAAGAAAATGACCTGGTCGATCAGGGCACTGGCACGCTCTCGCTCGTTTGGTGGGAGAGAGCGTAGCAACGACTCGATCTCTGTCTGTGCTGCTGCCTTCATCGCCTCCTCTGTCATGACCTGTACCACAGTTGAGGTTTGCACCAGAGCTTGCCCTCCCCTCGCTTGTGCACCTGTCTGCCCTGGTCCCCTTGTGACCTCTAACCCTGCATCTTGTGAAATATCCTGCTGTGAGGAGGAGAGGGGAGGAGTGCAATGGAAGGGGAAGGGTGAGGGGGGGAAAATGGTGATTGGAAAGAAAGAAGAGCAAAAGGAGACGACATTTGGAACAAACCAAAGGGGCGATTGTGGAATTGGAGTCAACGATTGCAATTGGCCATGTTGAGCACGAAAAATGGGGGGCAAGTACGTGCGCAGGCACTCCAGGTTCACTTCTCACCAGAATCAGAGCATCATTGTTTCCCTCTTCTTTCATTGCATTAACCCCTTCCCTCTCCTCCTCCTCTGCCGCTTCCGCTTGCCCTCCTTCTCGCGCTTGGCCTCCCTCTCGCTCTTCCCCTCGCCCTCCTACTCGCCCTCCCTCTTTCTCTCCCTCTCGCTCTACCCCTCTCCCTCCTTCCCGCCCTCCCTCTTCCCCTCCCTCTCGCTCTACCGCTCTCCCTCCTTCAAGCCCTCCCTCTTCCCCTCGCTCCTTCCCTCGCCCTCCTTCTAGCCCTCCCTCTCGCCCTTCACCTCGCCCTTCAGGCAAGTCTTCCCAGATCTCTTCCTTTACAACTCGATGGACAGCTTCATCCCCACCGTTCATCCCCTCGTCCGTCTTGAACCCCGTCTCAATCTCCATTTCTTCTTTCAGCTGCTCCTGCCCCTGTACAACCGCCTCTTCCTCCTTCTCCTCACTCTCCTCCTCCTGCTCCATCTGCTCCACCTCCTCATCATCATCTCTCTCCTCCTCCTCTCTCTCCACCTCCTCCTCTCTCTCCACCTCCTCCTCTCTCTCCACCTCCTCCTCTCTCTCCATCTCCTCCTCTATTTTCTTCTCCTCCTTCTCCTCCTCCCCCTCTCTCTCCTCCTCCTGCTGCTCCTGCTCCTCCTCCCCCTCATCTCTTTCCTTCTCCTTCTCCCTATCCACATCACCCTCACTATCCACCTCCCTCTCTCTCTCATTCTCCTCTCTCTCCTTCTCCTCCTTTCTCTCCATCTCCTCTTCTCTCTCCTCCTCCTCTCTCTCCTCCTCCTCCTCCTCTCTCTCTTCCTCCGCCCTCCCCTTCTCCTCCTCCCTCTTCATCTCTTCCCTCTGCTTCCCCTCATCTCTCTGCTTTCTCTCCTCTCTCTCCGTCTCCTCCTCTCTCTCACTCTGCCTTGCTCTCTCCATCTCCTGCTCTCTCTCCTTCTCTTCCTCTCTCTCCACCTTCTCTCCTCTCTCCATCTCCTCCCCTCTCTCCATCTCTTGCTCTCTCTCTGTTTCCTCCTCTTCCTCCTTCTCCTCCTCCTCAACCTCCTCTTCCTCTTCCTCGTCCTCCTCCCCTCCTTCCTCAAGCTGCTTCTCCCCACCAACCAAGACATGCTTCGTCCACAGCCCACGCACCAGCGTCTTCACCTCCTGTGACTTCCCTCTCACCGCCTCTGCATAAGTGGAGAGGGCTGCCAGGTGCTGCCAGGCAACAGGGAGTAGGGGAGCATCAAAGGGGCGAGAACGGCCGAGTGGGGTAACGGCGAGAGGGGCTGCCTGTGCACGGTTAAGGGCTTGCAGATGAAATGCTTCCTGGTATAGGAGTGGTGCAGGAAGGCACGGGGGAATGAGTAGGTGAACGAGCAACGGAGCACCAGGATGGACGGACGGTGGGAGGAGGGGTGGATGGTGGGTGGAGAGACGGACGGACGGAGGACAAGGAGAGAGTTGAAGGAAGGAAGGTAGGGGCGAAGGGAAGAACGGGTAGCGAGGCATACTTGTATCGTCTTACATGGCACAGAACGTGCCAAATAGGGATTATATGCAAATTAATCACGTTATGACAGTACTCACCTCCCTCGTGCGGGGAGCAGCGGACCCATCAGCCATACGAGCTCGCTTGCGCTCTGCTTCGGCGCATTGAAAGAGCTCCCCACCGTCCATGGCGCTTTGGAGCATGGCCACGCGCACCAGTATCTTCTCCACCTTTTCCTCAACGCTCTCCTCCAGCCCCGTCACCGCCCTCTCCGCCTCCCTCACTGCTGCCTTCAACTCCTCCTCCCGCCTTGCCGCCCTCGCTAGTGCCTGACTCGCTTCCCTCTTCAGTTCCCTCCTCTTCTTCCTCTCTTCCTCTTCAACCCTCTTTCTCTCTTCCTTTTCAACCCTCTTCCTCTCTTCCTTTTCAACCCTCTTCCTCTCTTCCTCTTCAACCCTCTTCCTCTCTTCCTTTTCAACCCTCTTCCTCTCTTCCTCTTCAACCCTCTTCCTCTCTTCCTCCTCAACCCTCCTCCTCTCTTCCTCGTCGGTCCTCTTCCTCTCTTCCGCTCTCACTCGCTGCTCTACCTCCCCAAGCCTCTCCGCCAATCTTGCGTCCACGTCGACCTCCACAGCACGCTGCACGCACCATCGTATCACACTCATCAGCTGTTGCAATGATAATTCCCCCGCGCTCCCCGCGCTGGGCCCATCATCCGACTCAAGCGCATCGCCACGTCGTCCTGCCTCGTCGCCCTATGCACTCCGCCTCCACGCCCTTCTTCTGATTCCCCACCTTTACCCTCCGCGTTTTCCCCATTCTCCGCCATCATCCGGTTCTCCGCCGTTACACCCTTCGCCGAATTGATGTGCTCCTCTCGTACGAGTCGTACGGGAAAGTATAGAACCAGCCGTAATCTTCTATACGTTGCTGCTTGCCGGGGTAGTATGAAGCCCCTGTGGGGCTCGTCGCAGCTCACTATATGAACCTCATCCAAAAGAACTCGAACGTGAATTCCTATTTTCGAGAGTCTGGTTGAGGATAGACAACATACTTCCCGGCCATGTGAGAGTGGATGGGCGATTGGAATCCCGTCACTTTTGGATGAACTGTTGACACTATCGGGTGCTTTGGGATTGGTTCGATGAACAATATCCAAGATTGACACGACCAATGGTTGATTGAGGCATGCGGGCAGTTCTTCCGATAAGAGCCATCAATCATAGTACACTTTCCAGCACTGATACATTACATATAGTTACATTACATCGTGGGCCTGCGTAGTGAAATTGCATTGTTACTCTAATGGGCACAGGGCCCAAAATTGGTCTAGGCCCACCCTGTCTAACCAGAGTTGAGCCCAGTCTCACCCTGACTCCCTAGGGTATTTTTTTTCGCTAGGCTGACGAATACAGTGAAAAAAAATTCCTAGCCTGATGCCGTCACTGTAACTATTACTAAAGACTGATTTGCGGGTACTATTTTCGTTACACTGACTGGCTAGTCCAATACAGCGAGCGGTGACTACTTAATTATAATCGTAGCAATAGCAATGTTTCTCACATGCAATATTCACTTCACTCAGTACTTGGCAAGCTACTCTGCAAACCACCACTGTCGCCCACAAACTGGGTGTCGCTCTCCCTGGTCCCATTGAAGTCCGTAGTGGGGCGCCTGAGCTTTCTCCCCCCTGGAAATCGCCACCACCTCGAACCAGTCAATTTCGTACTGGAGCAAGGAGCAGTGCATAATATAGTCGAGGCTGATGCCAGAGATGCTGACGCGGTCCCAGGTTTTGATCAAATTCTGCTTGCTGAAGCCTCTCAGAATGATGTTGGGGAAGGACTGCTGCCATAAATCTTTGCGCAGCATGTTGGCAAGAGCTTGGTGGAAGTCTTCATTGTGATGCTGCAAAAACAAGGTACTCGTGAACACCCACAGCTCTGCCCGCGCTTTGCTGTAGTTGAACCCTGTTGATGGGGGAGAAGAGTACAATAAGAAGCTCGAACAACAAAGTACGAGAACAGAAGACCCCTCTCCAACAATCACCCAAGAAATTCAAAAACCGCAAACAATTTTCAAGCATGGTACGGATTTCGTACCAGGGAGTGCATCGTGGTAGAGCTTGTGGAGTTGTTGCAGCCATCGTTTGAAGGCAGCGAGGCGCTTGTCATTGTCTGGAAGGTATGAAGCTGTATCAAACAGCTTTGAGCCTTCCAGGTTCGCGAAGTCACGATACCGCCACTCCAGCTCCTTGTCCACTGCGCGCACGAACTTCAGCGATAGTTCGTAGCAGACAGCCACAACGCCTGGAGTTTCTTTCCCCTCAGAGTCACAGTCGTGCAAGTCGAATTTGAAGGAGACTGGATTTCCGTCGCCATCAACCCCTTCGGCCTTCATCTCCTGCTTCTCCTTCGATTGGTGCTTCTTGATGAACTCTGGAAGGCGCATCCTCTCCCCGCTCTCGAACTGGTGGCCTTGCTGATTGCTGTTGTAGCGAGACTTCAGTCGCATCCGCGTCTGCTCGACGAGACGGCCCACCAGCGTGATGTCGATCTGTAAATGCACAACACAATGTGTCAGGATGGGAGAACTACTACATGTCAACACATTTCAAAGAGATTTATCACATCATACCTTTCTTTGCTGGAACCGCAAGTTGAGCGAGTTGAGCTCCGACAGCACATCCACCAAAAACCGAAGGAGCGAGTTGAATTTGAACGAGGTGACCACCTCATACAAATCATGGCGGTACTCTTTCAGCAAGACAATAGCAGCAGGTAACACGTCCAGCAGGCGCTCTAGTGCCTCCCCACGTGACTGCTAGCGCGCGTAAAAAATTCCTTGCATCTCGAGGTTAGTCTTGCAAAATACCTGCTGCAGATTCTGGAACTTCTGACACTTCAACACAAAACACGTTACCTTACCAGCATAACATATCGTCGTGAAAGCATTCCAGGACCTGCAAGAAATTTCAGACGAGCATGTTAAACAACACAGAAACAGTTGTGGCATGAAACACATACCTCAGCAGCGTGACCACGCTAAATCCTGCAAAACGTCGGGTGTTTCGGGGCTACAAACTGCCTAGAACGCCCCCGCGGGCCCTTTGTTATGAGTTGTACGAAAGAAAAGTGCGCAGAATGCAATATCGCGGAAGTGATTACAACTACTGAGAAAACAACGAGGCCTAGGCATAATTTAGCAAGGCTAGCTAGGCCGAGGTCGCGGAGTCGCGAGATGGTTGGGTGCAGGTTTGTGGTTGGGAAACCCAAAGGCGACGCGAGGGACGTTCGGAAGGCGAGGTCGTCGGACCAAGCCTGAACTCTGAAAAGTTGGAATTGTACGCGTATGGAGTGCCTCAGTGAGGAATTAGGAAAGTTCCTTACACTACCCCCCCCCCCCTTTAAGAAAGGTGGTCAATGTCAGGCACGCGTCGGCGGGACCCACGTGTCATCTTCGCTTGTGCGATCCACCCAACGTAGGAGGAAATCGACGTGGTGCCCAGCCGGGGTCGCACTAATGCGATGATTCAGAATCTTCCAGGGCTGCACTGTCGGGTCTGCCACAGGCCGAACACTTGGCGCGATGTTGGGGCGGGCGATGTCGGACGGCTGCGGAGCCACGCAATGGCGGAGCAGGCTGACGTGGAAGGCGTCGTGGATTTTCCAGTCGTCCGGTAGCAGAAGTTTCGCCGCGACCGGGGTCAACATCCGAATGACGCGGAAAGGTTCCACGTAGCGGAAACGCAGTTTTGCGGGTTGGGGCAGGCAAAGATTTTTTGTGTTCAGAAGGACCATCTGCCCATCACGGAAGGGTAAGTTCCGTCAATGTCTGTCGGCGTAGCGGCTGGCAACGGTATTAGCCTTCCGAATGAATTCCGCTGCTTTGTCACGAGCTGCTTGAAGTTCCGAGACGAACTGCTGCGACCGTGGTAACTGGTTGTCAGAGGTCGTTGAAGAGGGTACCACGGGGTCTATCTCGTAATTGAGGTAGAACGGCGACTGATTAGTCGTCGCAGACGGTGCGTTGTTGTACTCAAACTCCAGCATAGGGAGCGAATCCTCCCACTTGGTGATGTCGGGGCAGTTCGTGCGAATTAACTGCTCCACAGTCAGATTTGTCCTCTCTGTCTGTCTGTCGGTTTGCGGGTGGTATGACGACGAAAACTGCAAGCGGGTTCCGTACTGTACTCACGTTTCCTACCAGAACTTCGACGTAAATTTAGGATGTCGATCGCTGATGATCGCCGAAGGTAACCCGTGTAGGCGTACGACGGTGGAGATGAAGAGCTTCGCTGTTTCTTCGGCTGTGATCGTCGTGCGGCATGGTGCGAAATGCGCCATCTTCGTTAATCGGTCAACGACGACCAGCACCTAGTCGTTGCCACTTGCGCCAGCTGGCAGTCCGGTGACGTAGTCCATCGTCACATGTTGCCACGGTCGTTCGGGTGGCTCCAGGGGTTGCAGCAACCCAGCTGGACGTTGGCGTGATGACTTCATCGCTTGGCAAGTCGGGCAGGCGGACACGTAGTGCTGCACGTCCGACGCCATGTCGGGCCAGTAGTAATTACGCTGCAGCAACTTTAATGTTTTGTCGACGCCGAAATGCCCGGAGAGGTTGGAGTCGTGAACCTCCTGCGTCAGCAATTCTCGTAACGGTCGGTAGGAAGGTACCCAAACTCGGTTAGTACCGACTTTTAGGTAATAACTCCCATGCGCCGTATTGACCCGTTGGTGTTGATTCGTCATGAAGAAGCGATCGGTCCTGTAGCCATGCTTAAATAACCTTGCCAATAAAGGGTTAGAGTGGGCGATTAGTACTGCTGCGGTCTGCATCGATGTGCGGGTCAGGGCGTCGGCAATGTTGTTGGCGCCCTTTTTGTACGTGATGGTGTAGCTCAAGTTTGACTCGAGGTAATCTGCCCACCTGATTTGTCGCGGGTTGAGCTGTAGTTGGCTGCGCATGTACAGTAGTGACTTGTGGTCTGTCCTGATCATGACATCGGCTCCCGTGAGATAACATCGCCAGGTACGAAATGCATGCACGATGGCGAGCATTTCTTTGTCGTGTACAGCATAGTTGCGCTCGGGCGGCTGCATTTTCCGTGACTCGTACGCGTTTGGTTGCAGCCCGTTGCCGAAATCCTGTAGAAGGACGGCGCCTACGGCGAAATCGCTGGCGTCCGTCACGACTTCGAACGGTCGAGATGGGTCTGCCAACTGAAGCACCGGGGGTGAACTCAAAATTTTATTCAGCTCGTCGAAGGCCAACTGTTCTCTCTCCCCCCAAAGAAATAGCACGCCCTTGTGCAGAAGAACGGTTAACGACCTGGTTACCCCCGCCATATTCGGTACAAAACGGCGGACGTAGTTAACGAAGCCGAGGAAACTCTGCAACTCCGTGATGTTCGTGGCGGCTTCCACTCCGAAACTGCCGTCACTTTGCGAGGGTCAATTTCTATACCCTCCCCTGAAACCACGTGCCCCTGAAACCACGTGCCCTAGGAACTCCAGCTCCGGCTGTAAGAACTCACACTTAGAGCCCTTGGTAATTAGTCGGTTCTGCTGCAAGCGCCGGAACACCTCCTCTAAAATCCGTAAATGCTGCTCCCGAGTCTTGCTGTACACCAGGATGTCGTCGAGGTAAACGATATTTTTTTTGTCCAGCATGTCCCGAAACACCCCGTTCATAGTGAGCTGGAAGGTCGAGGGCGCGTTTGTCAATCTGAACGGCATCACCTGTCAAATGATATATATGTTACATATGCTTAGGCTGTAGTGGGGTAGCCAATATGGGGTACAGCCCACATTAGGGTTTCATATTTGTACCTAATTCTTTCATAGTTCAATCATTCCTGCTGCTAGATTCTAACATGGTTTCAGAGCACTAGGTCTGTAGGACCGTTTTTTTTTCGGGCCCACCTACCGTTGCGGTTACCACGCTACCCCACGTGTTGTTCTGTGCCTGCCTGCCTTGCCTTGTGACGTGCTGCGCTGCGCGCGCCGTCCTGCAGCCCTCGCGCTGCCTACTGCTGCCCTAGGCCAGCGCGCCGCCCCTGCAGGCCCGTAAGACCCGCGCGCCACCCCTGCAGACTCGTAAGGCCCGTGCGCCGCCCCTGCAGGCCCATCAGGCCCGCTAGCCGCCCCTGCAGACCCGTCAGGCCCGCGAGCCGCCCCTGCAGACCCGTCAGGACAGAGCGCCGCCCCTGCAGGCCCGTCAGGCCAGAGCGCCACCCCTGCAGGCCCGTCAGGCCTGCTAGCCGCCCCTGCAGGCCCGTCAGGCCCGCTAGCCGCCCCTGCAGGCCCGTCAGGCCCGCTAGCCGCCCCTGCAGGCCCGTCACGCCCGCTAGCCGCCCCTGCAGGCCCGTCAGGCCAGCGAGCCGCCCCTGCAGGCCCGTCAGGCCAGGTCGCCGCCCCGCGCGACGCGCCCGCTGCCCGCGCGTCGCCTGCAGCCCTGCGCGTCGCGTCTGCTGCCCGCGCGTCGCGCTGCAGCCCTGCGCGTCGAGCCCGCTGCCCGCGCGTCGCGCTGCAGCCCCGCGCGTCGCGTTCGCTGCCCGCGCGTCGCGCTGTAGCCCCGCGCGCCGCGTTCGCTGCCCGCGCGTCGCGCTGCAGCCCCGCGCGCCGCGCCCGCAGCTCGCGCAGCGCGCTGCAGCCTCGCGCGCCGCGGCTGCCCCTGTTCCTCGCGGCTGCCCCTGGACGCCGCCCCTGCCTGACTGCCACCGTCGCTCCTGCAGCGGCTGCCACGGAGCGCCCTACTACAGTCGTGGCCCTGCCCTGCAGCAGCTGCCGCGGAGCCTTCTGCCGCCGTCGCGGCCCTGCTCTGCAGCAGCTGTCGCGGAGCCTCCTGCCGCGCCGCGGCCCTACCCTGCAGCAGCTGCCGCGGAGCCTCCTGCCGCGTCGCGGCCCCGCCCTGCAGCAGCTGCCGCGGAGCCTTCTCCCGCCGTTGCGGCCCCGCCCTGCAGCTGTCACGGCCCCGCCCTGCAGCAGCTGTCGCGGACCTGCCCTACCGCCGACGCGGCCCTGCTCTGCCGCAGCTGTCGCGGCTCCGTCGTCGCCGCCGTCGTGCGCGTGCCCTTCCCGCCACTAGTGAGCACCTGCCTTGTTCGCGCACTGCCGCGCCATCTGCCTACCTGCCTGCTTGCCTGCCTGCCTGCCTGCCACGACTGCCTGCCTGCTTGCCTGCCTGCCGCGCCTGCCCTGCCTGCGCTGCCACTGCTGCTACTGCTGCTCCTTCTGTCACTACTGCTAGGCTCTTACTGCTGCTGCTACTGCTACTGCTGCTACTGGCGGTGGCCAGATGCAGCTCCAGCGACGTCCGCGCGAGTCTCTCACGCCCCAGCAGCTTCGTGAGTGGTACGCTAGTTGGGGTTGTAGGGGTGGCCGCGCTACAGCTGCTACTACTGCTACTGCTGCTACTGGCGGTGGCCAGAGGCAGCTCCAGCGACGTCCGCGCAAGTCTCTTACGCCCCAGCAGCCTCGTGAGTGGTACGCCCAGAGTAGAGGGTCTCTGAGTACCGTTCGCTGCCCGTACGTCATTCGCACTGGTGCTCGGAC